TAAAAATTGCCTATTGAATACTCCAGCAGATTTAGGTTGTTTCTTGTTTTTTCTCTTCAAATGAAAAGATGTGGTTCCGTTTCGTTCCGCAAAGTACCGATACCCGTGTGGATATTGGTAATTTGCGGAACGGAACAAGATTTGATCATTTGATCAAAGAATTATTTGGACTGTCGTCAAATTAATTTTTCTTGCTGAGCATGATTTTAAAATTAGAATCCTTAGATGATACAAAACTTATTTCAAGTCTTTTATTAACAGGGTTTTAAAACCCTTGATATTATAGTTCCGTTCCGTTTCGCAAAGTACTAATAATGTAGTGGATATAGGTATTTTGCGAAACGGAACGGAACCCGTTGTGTGTGTTTCCTTTCTTATTAGCGCAGAACTGAATGTTGTGTAAATACAGCTATTTGTAAGAACCAGGTAGGGGGTGATTCATAACCAGTTCAGATCTTTACAAAATTTTAACTTGTTGCTTCTCAGACCAAGGGAACATAATTGGACAGCAATTTTTTTTTCGCCAACCTTTATTGGCTTGTAAACAATGCACCAGGTAAACGTACATTGAACCAAGCAACAAATTGAAAATATTGTGAAGTTAGCTATTATACTGAACACAGGAACAGAGCTTTTTTTAAAGAAAATATCATAAGTAAATCTTTTTTTCCTGAAAATTACAAACAAAATGATAAATGATTACCACAAAGATAGAATTATACAGGATTAATCAAAGGTCCTGAATTTTAATTTTTCATAAGGCATTTCATAAAGTTCACTTTTTACAACATTTCTTAAAATCCAACATATTTAAGAAGCATGCTCAAAAAAGGGCCCTCATGTTAAAGATATCTGAGAACATATCGGGTCCTATCAATTTTAAATTGCGTGGCTGATGGGTTTTGCCTATATGCACACACTCAGTACCTTGTTCTGTTGCATTCCGCTAAATACCAATATCCACACGGGTATTGGTTTTTAGCGGAACGAAACGGAACCAGAGAATAACCACACTGTCAAAACGCGACAACTCTCTTTACCTTTAGACTCAGCACATGAACGATATTCTTTTTATATTTTGACAATAAACTGAAATGAAAGCATTAATAATATTTTACATCAATGATAGGTGTACAGTGTACGTCGTCCTTTCAATATAATTCACATAGTCAATCATTACAGAAATTAGTATTCAGCGGAACTAAACGAATCTCATCAAAATTGAAACACAATGAAATAAATATATGAAGAATAAAGTTGTTACATGAATGTCATATTTTTCTTTAATAAATTGACTTGTTCTTTCAGGTAAACTAATTTTGGAATATTTAGATTTACCCAGGATTTATGAAAGCTTTAAAATTGCCTGTTGAATACTCCAGCAGATTTAGGTTGTTTTTTATTTTTTCTCTTCAAATAAAAAGCCATTTCGTTCCGCAAAGTACCGATACCCGTGTGGATATTGGTAATTTGCGGAAGGAGCAATTTGATCATTTTGAAATACTGTTTCTTTCCTCTTTTTTTCAAATATAAATGGTGTTTAAGTTACTTACAGAAAATGAAAACTTAACAAAACTTTTTGTTTGATTGTATATAAAGAAAACAAGAATTTTTAGGTCTGTCGTTAAATCAATTTTCTTTCTGTTTTTTTAAATTCAAATCCTTACAATGCACAAAACCTATTTCCGTTTCGGAAAGTACTAATATTGTAGTGGAAATTGGTATTTTGTGAAACAGAACGGAACCCGTTTGTGTGTTTTCTTTCTTATTAGCAAAGAACTGAATGTTTTAAGATATAAATCAAGGTCTCTCTCTTTTAAAAAAATTTTACATAATAATTTTACAATTGTTTTGCATATCGATTTAGTTGAAGATAGAGATATGGTATTTACGTTTTCTTTTCTACATCAAATTGTATTTGTATATATAATACATGTATAACTGAAATAAAGGCAAGATTTTTGAAGAAGTTTGAGAGGTAAAAAAAAGTATGCTTTATTGTGCTGGATATATGATGGATGAATTACTTTCCTCCTCGAACATCCTTGTCTCTTATATATTATTTTCCACCTTGGATTTAATTTTTAATAATTAAAAAGATTAGATGAAATGAATAACAACAAAATGCTTGTATGTGTATCATCTTATTCCAACTTAACTGACGTGTTTCGTTCGTTTCGCTAAATACTAATACCTACACAGATATTGTATTTAGCGGAACGAAAAAAACCAGAGAATAACCATACTGGCAAAGCGCGACAACTCTCTTTACCATTAACTGCAGATGACACACTTTTGACAATAAACTTTGAAAGAAAAACATTAATAAATTTTTACATCAATGATAGGTGTACGTCTCTCATTCAATACAATTTATTCACTTCAGTTGACACAGCAGATATATAATTTATGACTTCAGACACTTCACACTTTTTTGATGATATAAAATGGCAGAGTAATAAATAACGTATTATATTCATTTTTATTATATATAATATATTCATTTTTATTCCCTCGCCCCCCTAGGGTGCCCCACAACTGGTTCCGTTCCGTTCCGCAAAGTACCATTAACCATATTTCACAACTCACATCTTCAGAACCCAAGGACAACATATCAAAGATATACTGCGCAGCATGTAAGCTTGAAGCTTCACAATAATTAAGATAATAATTAAGATAATTCATGTCATGCCTGTTCCTCTTCTTGTTTTGTTTTTCTTTTAATATATGAGATAATCTCGATTTCAAATTGCAATCCTATTAAAGAACCAATGTCAATTCTTTAAACTCCTACACCAAAATAATGAGGTCATGATTTTCAATGACAATGAGGTCATTTTTCCTCTAAAAAATTCATTTGACTTTCTCTTCATTACAAGCAAGCTTACATTATTCCATTCACATACTTACATCATAAAAATAAAATCCCATTTCATCTCGGAATTAAACTCCATTTTTTATAATACAGAATTCAGATGCACAAACTGAACATTCAAAATGAATTGCAATTCCTTAGTGAGTCTTTCTTCACAAAGAATTCAAGATGCACAAAATTTAATATCTGAAATCTTCCACTAACTAAATAACTTTACAGTTCCATACAGCCTTCCTGCCTCTGCTTCAGTGATGGCTCTCTGCAGTTAGTTACCTAGATGCCAGCTAATAGATTCAATTAAAACTCATGCTTTCACACTCAGAACAATTCGACTGAACTTTTTTTTTAACGTAAACAATCTATCTTTCCAGGCAAGAGCATTTTCATATGTTTTTCATTGATTCAATGCTATTAACTTATTGCTCGGCTGTTGCATAATTATTTGGGGGGAAGGATAAATAAAATTAAGAACAAAGTTAAAAGGGGCAATCAAAAGAATGAATAAAAACATTCCATTATTAAAATGTATATTTCATCAATATAATAGTCTGTAATATGCAAATTGCTACTTCAAAATCACAACACGTGTGCATGCCAATGATCGGAAAACCATGAAAGTATGTACACCACCCAAGTCTAGTATGTACACCACCCAAGTCTTCAAAATACCAGAAATATTCAATATTTAAATTTTTCTCCCCAAACCAGCTTATTTTTTATTAATATATAATTATAAACCTTTCTAACGAATGAACAATTCTCAATACATCTCTTTGTAAATATTTTGATATTTCATATATGACCTTGACCTCTGCCCTGTAACCTTTCACCGATATAATATGAATAGAGACCTGGTAAAACATCCTATCATTTTGAATTGGTCTCTAAGCAATGAAAATCATTTAATAAATCTTTATGTTAAGGATTTCAGTCAATGTATTACCCGAAAACATTAAACATCAAATTATTTAGGAGATGCATTTCTATAATGGAATTTTGGAGTCCCAAACACAATGCGACCATTCAAAGTGAAACATTACATCATTTTCAGAATTAATCAAAACACAGAGTTTACATTGTGGCATGTTCTAGATTTAAATGTCAGGGAGTCTGCCATTCGTTACAAATTACAATGACTGTCAGCAACACACCATTATTCAGAAGCCGGCTAAATGCACTTTGTCTGAGGTCTGGGGGTGGCAGTTTCCTTAGAATAAAGTTCAGATGAGAGCTTGGACAGAGACAGAAAATTCTTCAAAAGACTTAACTTTTTGTTAAATCTATACAAAGATAATTGGTTTTGAGTTTATATATTTACGACATTGAAAGAAAGTGTAAGGTGTCCCATTAAGATCATTTGCAAAAGTGTAAAAGCGCGAAAAAATACACTGCATGGTGACAACGCACTAACTTGTTTTTCACAATGCAACATGTGTGTTTTCAATTTGCGCCAGTGCATTGTCACTTGTAAAAGTGTAACAATGCCTTTGTATTACAACATGGGGAGGCAAAACGAGAATGTGCCAGTGCATTGATCACAACACGATGGTTCATTGTTGTATAGCGCCAGTGCATTGTTACTACAGGGTGTAGCTGCTACACTTTTGCACAGGGCCCAGTTGGGACACAATAAAAGTGGTTGGTAGAGGGAAGGGGAATTTCGAGTGATGGGAGAGAAAGGACTAGAGAGGGTGATAGGGGAACTAGAATGGTTTATGAGGGGGGAGGGGGGAATAGAAGTGGTTGGTGAGAGGGGAGGGGGGGACTGTAGAAGTACAGGGGGAATTTAACTGGTAGTAGGGGGAACTAGAGTGGTTGGTAGGGGAATTAGAGTTGTGGGTAGGGGAATGTGAGTGCTTGATAAGTGGAAATGGAACTATACAAGTGGGTGGGGAAGAATGAACTAAAGTGTTGGTAGGGGGACACTAGAGTGATTATAAGGGGAACTAGCTTAAAAGTGTTGGTCCGTCTTATAACGCCAGACGTGTATATTCGCTCAGAAACTAAACTTAGGTACTGGTAAAAATGAAAATATAGTATTGCTTAATCATTATGCATACTGCTGATTTCAAGAAATATTTTCTAAATTCTACATTTCGCTTATCAATAAGTTGCATGGCTTTACCTGGAAATCTCATCGATACTCTCTGGGTGTTCCATCTCACTGTGCGAAGAGATTCTAACTTTTTATCCAAGTGGGCAACAAATCTATCCCATAATTCCCTCCATGATGGTGGGGGAGTGGACCATGTGGCCATAATTTTGGAACGAATCAAGGCTCAATCCAATAAATTAGATAATCGTTCACTTAACCTGTTTTCATCAACCCCACCTTTCAAATGCCATCAACACATATACACTGCAAGATTAGAATAGAAGTAAAGGTTGGAATGCGACTTTTTATTCGGTCAAAAAAAAATTGAAAAACAACATGATCACTCCCTGACTTCCCGTTGTTCACACAGTTTCCTCAGTTCTTTTAATCCAAAGTGTTCATATTTTTTAATGACAAAATACCCACAGCCTCCAAACTGCACTGCAACTTCACTTTTTGATTAAATTCCAATTAGCACGAATATTAACACGTCTCAGGAGATTGAGAGTACAAATATCACATTGCACTGAAAAAAATCTTATGTCTTTTAAAATGAAGTGAAAGTAATCAAGTAAATGTGAAAGTAGCAACCTGCTAATCAACCAAAATTTGGATAAACATGTGATAATAAATCCGTGAACTGCTACAAAACAGTAAAACTATCAGCCATCTGCTTTTGCGCTGTAACCAATTTGGCAGAGTAAAAAACAACTTATCTTCTATAATAAATCTGCAAAAACTCATTAAATTTTCCCAAAACTTTATAGGCATATAAAATATCCAAAAATGAATACAAATACACAAATATAAAAAAATCCAAAATAAAAACGAGAACATCAAAAGTCAGGAACACTGAGTGCAAACTGAAAATAAAATCTGGTTTGAAAGGGAACAGTTCTTGGATGCTACCAAACACTCCCAAAACAAACGTTAATCAATCTATATAATTGTACCCTCACTATGTAATTACTGGATGTCTATATGCTGTGTTGAAAAAAGATGGTATACCTCATCTCACATCATCAAACACACAAACACATCCCAAAATCCACTATCTCCTCCACTTCAAAGACACAGAAGGTTTTCATTAACTTCAGAACAACTTTTTTTTTGACTTATGACTACTGGTACATCTTGCAATTTGTTAGTGTGTACTGCCATATTTATGTTTTTAGAGTCCATGGGTCATACTGCAATGCAGAACATATACCAGAACATATACCATAGAATGATGGGTGATGACAAAATGTGAGGAATTAAGGTATAACTTTTTCATTTTGAATAAATGTTGGGGAAAAAAGATGAGCAAAAAGAAAAACTTTTAAATCGTTCTCTTCTATTCCAGTCTTTTTAATCTGATGATGGCCATTAACTGCAATGACAAACAATAAGGTTATCCCATCTCCTCATCAAACAAATTTTGGCATCATCAATGAAGTCGCAACCCCCCTGTGTCTGAATGCAAAAAAAAATCTTTCTATTCTTCAATCACTGATCACTAGGAATATTAAGGACATCCATCAAGCCTGGCTTATCTCCGTCATTAATCTGCCAAAATTGCATCCATTCACTGTGTCGCTTCTTCCCATCCTTCTGTACGAAATCAAGGAATTTTGCCAGAGAATTTTTTTTTTTTAATTCTGCCTGAAGGTCAATTTAATTTCCCCTTGTTTCACTGAAATCAGGTTTTTCATTCAAAAATCTGGCTTGCACTCCCACACAAATCATCCTAAATTCTTTTCTAAGCTGCAGCTACCACACCAAAAATACACGTCGTGATAATTTTTTTAATACATGCATTAGCACTAGGCATCAAACAGAAGTCTTGCTTCGATCAGTTTTTAAAACTTAAAATTTTACACATTTTAAATCCAAGTAAATCCAGGAACTGCAAAAAACAATTAATGTACACTATTCATGCAGCATGGCCAAAAAAACTCTAATTCACCATCATCCTTTATACAGAAAAATAAAATATCTGTAAAATCATAGACTACACCTCTCTCCATTCACATTTTCATAAAATAAACAGAAAACTGAGTCAGTGCCCTGCCAGAGGACACTAAAACACTTGTTCTTTTCCCATCATTCATCAAACTCAACACTGGGGAGTTATCTCCCCTCCAGGCTAACCCTGTCTCCATGGTAACGGGGTCACACCTGTCATCACCAATGCTACCTGATGTACATCAGCCAAGATTATCTTCTTCTGTGATAACCATCAGCAAACAGGGATTAGGATACGCCCAGATATATTTATGGGGGAGATATTTTTTGTGCACTATAGAGACTCAATCATATGGCAGATGGTTAGATAAAGACTGGTATCTTAAATGTTACATACTATTGATTCAAAATAGAAGCTGAAACTTACAAAACTATTGGAGAAAGAATTTCTGCATTTTTTTTTTTCAAATTAAAACAAAAACATATATGTGAACGACGTGACCTGGAATTTATAATGTCAAATGAATGTGGGAGTTACATTTCCTGCTTCAACAAAATTCAACATTTTTTTTTCCTCTTTTTTTTTAATAGAAAAAAAAATACATGTACGGCAGTTTCAGCTTTTTTGCAGTGTGAAGGATTTTATATAAGATAGGTAAACTTAACAAAAAATTTGTTTCTTCATTTAGAAATTCTTGATATTAAGAGACATGCAATTTGATTAACTTTTGACCCATACATCTCTGATATTGATGCATAAGGTCTGTAGGCAATATTAAATGTTTAATACCTCAGCATTTTAATGAGACCCATACCCCACCCAAAAATGAATCTATCTGCATAAAGTGCTTGGACAAAGCTGAACCTGAACAGCATCTTATTTCTTCAGTCATTATTTGATACACTCCACTTTTCAGAATATGGACTCTGTTTATAAACCTTAGTCTGTATTGTCTAGTTTACAAAAGGGAAATAACTCTGTCAATCAAGTTCAAGAGAAATATCTCCAATAATCAAGCTCACTTCTCAATGAGACTAAGACTATGGCATATTCTACATCACAAACCATCAGTGAAAATCTACACAATTTTAACATACAGCATCTTAACAAAGAAATTTTATCCTTCAACATGCTCAAGTCAGATTTATAATTCCTCCCAATTGCCCGCATAGTGCAGTGGTTGCTAGAGCTTCTGCTCTAGAGTCGCTAAGTAAGAACTTAGGAGTCGATCCTTACGTCGCGGGTTCGAATCCCACTGTGGGACAAGGAGACCAGTCCTTCGGATGAATTAAACCATATAAACTGAAAAATATGTGTTGCAATAGATGCTGGCACGAAAAAGATCCCTCAATGCTCAATGGCTGTAAGTAAGAGTATAGGACAAAATTTGCATCTCTCCACCAACATTTGGAGGCGTCTCCATATGACTTTATGAGTGAAAAATTCTCGAGAGGAGTGTTAAACAACATACATGTAAAAACAAACAATGAGACTAAAACTATGGTATTCTACATCACAAACATTCAATGAAAATTTACATTATTCTAACCAACAGCATCCTAACACAAAAATTTTATCCTTTAAGTAAGATTTACAATCCCACCCTCCCATGCCCACCCCTTCAGCCCTATATTGACAATAATTCACAAGGGATCTTTCAACAATGTAAATATGTTTTAAAAACTCACATATGATATTATAATTAAAGTATATTTTAAACGCGTTAAAATTGCAAAAAAGGGCAATGTGTATTTTGACACAGTCACAGGGATGGGCTAATCATAATCAGTAATTGTAATCAGCTGTAATGGATTACAGTTTGCAGTGTAATCATGAGTAATCAGTAATTATTATATTAATCAACGTATAAATCACCTGATTCTGGTCCACAAGTAGCAGATTAAGTGCACAATTCTTTATCATTTTTATGCTTCATAGCAGTATTTTTATCCTTGCTTAATTCTTGTATAATGAAGAATATGTATAGCACAAGCTACCACTAAACCTCTTTTATATAACATGTATTAAGCAAAGATAATTGTCTCATAAGAAGAAGTTTATCTTACCACACCTTTCTGTATTAATCTTGGGTAATTAGTGCATGTATTACTATATAGCCAAGATTAAGAATTGCACACTTAGCAAGCATGTATGCACAAATAAACAAGCCAGTTCTTTGAACCATATTGCTCAATCCTTTATAAATCGTGTCATCTATCATGTCTATGGCCATCTTTAAAAATTTTTTAATTGCCCTCTCCCAATCGACTGCCAAAAAACGACCTGACTCAAAACTATTCTAACCATCAGGAAACATTATTCTTGGATTTTTCTCACTTTTCTTTTGTGACCACACTGAAATATCATTTATTAATTTTCAGATATAAAATTAAAAATTAAATTCTCCCAAATAAAATATGATTGGCATGTAACATTACTAAGGTATTATACTTTTCATCAAAAAGGTGGTACAGTACATTTAATATATTACATGATAAACATAAATGGTCATTTATACTGGGATATTATGACTGTGCATATTCTTATGCACTTACGTCATGTCACTGTTAGTAATAGCACAGCTGCACACATTAACAAAATGAGCAAAGCAGGGGGAAAAAACCGATGACTTAGACTATTGTCTGACCTCCTGGATAAAACACACAAGCTCTAACAAGTGGTGGACAAAATGTTGGCAAATTATATTGAAAAACAATAATTCGCATTGAAGCACTTTTGGGTATCATTTTCCACATAGGAAGTTTCAAGTCAGTCCTAATTATAGTCAAGCTTACACCATGTGTACCAAATCAACCAATGTATTGATCTTCTACCAGTGAAATCTGCATGCCTTTTTAGGCTTAGTCAACTACATTTTGTTTCAAAGAATATTCTACAAATTGTCCATTGAGAATTCCACAAAAATCCATTCTGTGTGTAACACAGGGTCTTCCTTTTATTTTTTACCTCCATATTTTCTCATTCTTTGTCATATTGTTTGTTCATATAGTCCAAACTTATGATATCCCAAATACACTGTGTACACTGCAAAAGATTTTATAAACAAGCTAGATTTCTGCAACTTTGTCAAGTCTAAAATGTGATCAACAATGCATTTATAATCTTAACTCTATTATTTTACAAGTTCCACTGACGTTAAAAAAATTGCTTAAATTTACCAAGGTGTCTACTAATAAAAAATATTTAGAGACCCCTAAACCTCCCTCTCTTGCTCTCTCTCTTC